CTGCTCAAGCTGCTGAATTTGGTGGTTTGACTGAAGCTTGTAACTTGGCTAAAGATAAACGTGTAACTATCTATACTGATAGTCGATATGCGTTTGGAGTTGTTCATGATTTTGGAACTTTATGGAAGCATAGAGGTTTCCTTACATCATCAGGAAAACCTATTGCACATCATATGCTAATTTCTAACTTGTTGGATGATATTCTGTTACCCAAGGAAGTGTCTGTATGTAAATGTGAAGCTCATTCTGGTGCAGAAGAATTTGTTTCACAGGGTAATGCTTGAGCAGATGCAGCAGCAAAGAGTGCAGCGAGAAAGGTGATGTCTGTTCCCATCATGACTAAGGTGTGTACTCCTACAGTAGACATTGCAGGATTACAATCTGGAGTTCCTCATGAAGAGAAAGAGGTATGGAGGAAACATGGTTGTACATTGATAGAGGGCATCTGGACTGGGCCGAATGGAAAACCATGTTTGCCTAAAAGATTGTTTCCATACTAAGCTAAGATAGTACATGGGAAAGATCACGCCTCAAAAATGCAATGATAGACAGTTTGAGACAACACTGGTATGAGAAAGGTTTTGTAATATACTCTCAGAACTTTTGTGAACGATGCGTTATTTGTGCTACAAATAATGTTGGGAGAGGTGTTAAGATGATGCAAGCTGCTCACCCACAACCAAACAGATCTTTTGAGCATTTGCAAATGGATTTCATTGAGTTAACACCAAGTGAAGGAAAGAAATATTGTTTAGTAATTGTTTAGGATATGTTTTCAAAATGGGTTGAAGCATTCCCTACAGCTAAACAGAATGCAAGTGCAGTGGCAAAATCGTTGTTTGCTGAGGTGATTCCTAGACGGGGAATACCACAACGGATTTCCAGTGATAATGCTACTCCATTTGTGAACAATGCACTTCAAATGGTTGGTGAGTATTGATCTGAAACATCACTGTGCTTATCATCCTGCTAGTACATGTGCAGTAGAAAGAGAGAATGGAACTCTCAAGAACAAGCTAGCGAAGTGTTTTGAGGAAACAGGGCTCACATGGGTAAAAGCTCTCCCTCTCGTATTCTTACATATGAGAACGAGAATCTGGGGTCGAGCACGATTGAGTCCTTTTGAAATTATGATGAGACCAGCTAATACTGGTATTGGACCTTCAGGTCCTCCGAGAACATTGACTAGCGAATGTGAAGATGAAATGCTTGTGTATTGTATGAACTTGTTTTTTGTTCTGAATTCTCTGCACAGAACAGTAACTGACACAAGTGGACCTTTATGATCTGAAACCTGGAGACTGGGTGGTGGTGAAGGATTTTAGAAGAAAAAAACTGGCAATCTAAACGCTGGCAAGGACCCTTCCAAATTCTTCTTACAACACAGACAGCAGTGAAAGTAGCAGAAAGAGCTACTTGGGTGCATGCTAGTCACTGCAGAAAGGTTCCGGAGCCTGCTGCAGGAGTCTAGTGAAGGAGCGTGTTGAAGAAGCTTGCTGAAGGAGCCGGCTAAAAGAACATAGGTATCGATAACCAGTAATACAGTTTAAGCTGACCTGGATCAGTTTTTGTGGTTCATAAGGGAGGTGGACTTGAGCGATCGACATCTGCTAGAGAGTCACCTGCAAGAGGAATCTGAAGGAAAGGTAGAATGTGTTACCAGATACATCAACGAAGGTAACCTATGGCCTTGGATTTATTACCTCTGCAAACATCCTTGTGAGTATTTCTCATTTACTGGTTATTCATAGACCAGGGGATGTTCATGGAACAAAAAATGGAAGCTTGGTCACTTTTACTCTTGACAGGAGTAACTAAGGCAGATGCGGGTAAATTCTGGTGTGTGACAGAACAAATCACATCAGATTCATACGAGATGGTAGTTGATGTTGAAGTGATTCAACAAATTCCTACCCCAGCGTTAAAACAAATAATAGATTTAATTCCAAACCCTGATCAAATTATTAGTGATTTGGATATAACAAATAGAGTGGAAGTTATGAAAACTACTAAATTATCAAAAGATGCAAAACAGGTTAAAATAGCTAAAATAAGATGTGAGAGAAATCATGCTTGTACATTATGATTACTTCAACATGAAAGTTTAAACCTTAACTAAAGTTGTTAGATATGTTTGCAGATGAATCAGGAATGGCAGACAGAGCAAATTACTATTGATCTAGTAAAACAAAATCAATGTAAAATTCCCAAAACTATGGCTATTATAACGTTAATGGGAGAAGCAATTAAAAATAAAATGAATTTAGACAACATTCAAACTAATTGTTCTACTGATAAACCTATGTATTCAAAACTAAGTTTTGAAGTAACAACAACAAAAGCAGAAGTGTGCATATGTTCAAAGGAGGGAAAATATGACGTAGGATTATCACAATGTAAAATGAAAATAACCTTAAAGAAGAACACAGAACAATGTTCAATTTTAGATAAAAATGGAATAACTGTTGATTTCTATTATCCATTTTTCAAAATTAGATTCAAACTACTGACTGCAGTATGGGTATATGGTATGAGAGCATATCATCAACTTCCTCAGAAATGGAGAGGGTGTTGTTATGCTGCCTTACTCTCGACGGGTACATCAGGTCTAATACAGGATGGTTCAATTGAAAACTCACGTGCAAAAAGAGACATAAATAGAATACCAAGATTTAATGGGTATGTTTTATCAGATCCATGGACGTCACCGGCAGCAAACATAGGATAGTCTTTGTTTCTAGGAGGTGGTACGACGGTGGCGTTGAATAAAATAAATGGGTTAGCTTACAGTATGTTATCCTTAGCTAATGATACTGAAGTTGCATTAGGACTTATCAATAATTGAAATGAGAAACATTAGAGATGCGGTTATTCAAAATAGACTGGCTTTGGATATTCTTACAGCAGAAAAAAAGGGAGGAGTCTGTAAATTATCAGGTATTTCTTGCTGTTTCAATATCCCAGACGAATCCAAGAATATATCAAACATAATACAACACATGAAAAATTCTATAGTAATACAAAAGTAGATAATTCATGGTTTTCATGGTTCTTAAACCTGGGAAGTGGATGGTTCCATTGGATGATGTACACGATTGCCCTGGTGATATTTATGATCTTGCTGATCATCATTTGCCTGCCTTGTCTTTTGTGATGTATCTCGACTTTGTTGCAAAAAGGCTGTCACTTCGGTCATCACAATGGAAGGATATATTAAATGGTGAAAATGATGGATGAGGAATGGAATGCAATATTTGATGATTTAGAAAACATTCCGAATTGAGAAATTGTTCTTTTGGTAATCAATCATTTTAGTGTGTCCAGGAAACTGGAGACATCAGAGGAACTTTGGGAAAGGGAAACCTCAGAGGAACTTTGGGACAACTGGAAACCTCAGAGGAACTTTAGGACGACTGGAAACAACAAAGGAACTTTGGGACAATTTGGGACAATTGGAAACAGAAAGACTGTGACGAATACGAGGACAATAATACATTGCAATAAATGTTATGTTTTGTATTTCATTGTTGAACACATTGTACACACAGCAAACGGCATAGATATTAGTTAGAGGTATGAAAGTCTTTTACTTCTTGTCAAACAAAACGACAGGGGGATGTTTGGCTTCATATACTCCAGGACGGTGTTTGATGTTTGAAGGTCTGTATCTTGACAAATTTATAAATAAATTTCTCGGCTAGTTTCAATTAGAAAGGGGAAAATTTTCCTCAATACCAGGTACTTGACCTTTCGATACCGTTGTGGGAAAAGGAAGAATGTGTTGTTTTTTAGGATATTTAGGTAATGCATGTAATGCTAATTAGAATGTTAGATAATACATGTTTGAGTTTGATTTTAGTGTGTTATAATTTGGTTGTTTATTATGAGAAGTGAATTAGAATTTTAATAATTTTGCTTGTTTATTATTAGAAGTGTTTTAACATTTTATAATGGAAGAAGAACGTTGAGTAAAGTAATTAATGAAAATATTGTAGAAAACAAATTTTGGGTTACAATATTGAAAAAAAAAATAGTCATACATTGCTTAACCGGATTTTTATTTACAGTATTAGATATCTTACTTTTGGAAAATTATTTTGTTGTCTTGTGACAAAAGGAGGGAATGTGATAGAAATTTTCCTATGTAATGTCTCCATCTAGTGGTTATATTGAGAAATGTAATTTGAGAAACTTCTTAGAGCATACGTCATACTTAGTCCCGCCCTTGAGCAGGAGGAAGTTAGAAAAGCACATGCGCCTCTTTGTCTCGGGCTCTTCTCTTCCTGTTCTTGGAGCTGAGCACTCTCTCAGGAGTCTCTCTTTGTTTCTCCTTTTTCTTTCTTTCTCTTTCTTTTCTATCTCTATTCTTTTTATTTCTTTTCCCTCTTTTCTCTTCTGGCGTTCGTTTATATTTTTAATAGGCTCTTAATATGCGTTAAACCACGTTCTTCTTCCACGTTAGAGTCACGTGTGTAGGAAATGCGTTGAGACTGCTTATCTTGATAAATAAATAGCCACCTTTGCTGTGTTCTAACTCAAACGGTCTTCAGTGTTCATTATCAATTAAGAAAGTATATTTTTCCACAACAAAAGTTCCCTTTAATATTTTTGTTACACGACAAGAAGTTACTGATCCACTAGATTCTGATTTTTTTTTCTGGATCATTATGAGCCTTCTTCCAGAAATCCACATATAAGACCTTGTGGTGCAACAGTAGCACATCTGATTCCAGATCAGAAGGTTGTGTGTCCAAATCAATATGATTAAAAGTGATAGCATTTAAAAATGACTAAAAAATGGCCAAAAAACAATGAGGTCGTGTGTCACTGATGGTCTAGTGGTCAGGATTCGGCGCTCTCACCGCTGCGGCCTGGGTTCGATTCCCGGTCAGGGAAGTGACTTTTAATATTTTTTATACAGGACAACATGATACTGATCCAATAGATTCAGATTTGTTTCTGAATTGTTATGAGCCTTCTTCAATAAAATATCATAATAAGACCTTGTGGCGCAACGGTTGCGCATCTGACTCCAGATCAGAAGGTTGTGTGTTCAAGTCTCATCAAGGTCAATGCTGGGAGTGCAGAAAACTTTAATACTATAGAGTTTTCAATGCTGGGAGTTCAGAAAACTTTAATATTAAAAAGTTTTCTAAAAGTAATATGATTTGAGTTTTGCTCTTCTAGATATTTAAAAAGACATTACTGGAAATTGGCAGGAAATATGAATAAAAGTGTTAGCATTTTAAAATGGCAAAAAAAAATGATGGCCGAAAAAATATTCATGATTGTGTGTCCCTGATGGTCTAGTGGTTAGGATTCGGTGCTTTCACCGCCATTGCCCTGGTTGGATTCCCGGTCAAGGAAGTTCCCTTTAATATTATTGTTACACGACAAGAAGTTACTGATCCACTAGATTCTGATTTTTTTTTTCTGGATCATTATGAGCCTTCTTCCAGAAATCCACATATAAGACCTTGTGGTGCAACGGTAGCGCATCTGATTCCAGATCAGAAGGTTGTGTGTCCAAATCAATATGATTAAAAGTGATAGCATTTAAAAATGACTAAAAAATGGCGAAAAAACAATGAGGTCGTGTGTCCCTGATGGTCTAGTGGTCAGGATTCGGCGCTCTCACCGCCGCAGCACGGGTTCGATTCCCAGTCAGGGAAGTGACTTTTAATATTTTTTATACAGGACAACATGATACTGATCCAATAGATTCAGATTTTTTTTCTGGATCGTTATGAGCCTTCTTCAATAAAATATCATAATAAGACCTTGTGGCGCAACGGTAGCGCGTCTGACTCCAGATCAGAAGGTTGTGTGTTCAAGTCACATCAAGGTCATTGCTGGGAGTTCAGAAAACTTTTAGTCACATCAAGATCAATGCTGGGAGTACAGAAAACTTTAATACTATAGAGTTTTCTAAAAGTAATATAATTTGAGTTTTGCTCTTCTAGATAATCAAAAAGACATTATTGGAAATTGGCAGGAAATATGATTAAAAGTGATAGCATTTAAAAATGGCAAAAAAATGATGGCCAAAAAAATATTGATGATTGTGTGTCCCTGATGGTCTAGTGGTCAGGATTTGGCGCTTTCACCGCCGTGGCCTGGGTTCGATTCCCGGTCAGGGAAGTCCCCTTTAATATTTTTGATACACGACAAGAAGTTATTGATCCACTAGATTCTGATTTTTTCTGGATCGTTATGAGCCTTCTTCCAGAAATCCTCATATAAGACCTTGTGGTGCAACGGTAGTGCATCTGATTCCAGATCAGAAGGTTGTGTTTCCAAATCAATATGATTAAAAGTGATAGCATTTAAAATGACAAAAATAATGGCCAAAAAACAATGAGGTTGTGTGTCCCTGATGGTCTAGTGGTCAGGATTCGGCGCTCTCACCGCCGCGGCCCGGGTTCGATTCCCGGTCAGGGAAGTGACTTTTAATATTTTTTATACAGGACAACATGATACTGATCCAATAGATTCAGATTTTTTTCTGGATCGTTATGAGCCTTCTTCAATAAAATATCATAATAAGACCTTGTGGCGGAACGGTAGCGTGTCTGACTCCAGATCAGAAGGTTGTGTGTTCAAGTCACATCAAGGTCATTGCTGGGAGTTCAGAAAACTTTTAGTCACATCAAGGTCAATGCTGGGAGTTCAGAAAACTTTAATATTAAAAAGTTTTCTAAAAGTAATATGATTTGAGTTTTGCTCTTCTAGATATTTAAAAAGACATTACTGGAAATTGGCAGGAAATATGAATAAAAGTGTTAGCATTTAAAAATGGCAAAAAAAAACGATGGCCGAAAAAATATTCATGATTGTGTGTCCCTGATGGTCTAGTGGTCAGGATTCGGCGCTTTCACCGCCGTGGCCCGGGTTCGATTCCCGGTCAGGGAAGTCCCCTTTAATATTTTTGATACACGACAAGAAGTTATTGATCCACTAGATTCTGATTTTTTCTGGATCGTTATGAGCCTTCTTCCAGAAATCCTCATATAAGACCTTGTGGTGCAACGGTAGCACATCTGATTCCAGATCAGAAGGTTGTGTGTCCAAATCAATATGATTAAAAGTGATAGCATTTAAAAATGACTAAAAAATGGCCAAAAAACAATGAGGTCGTGTGTCCCTGATGGTCTAGTGGTCAGGATTCGGCGCTCTCACCGCCGCGGCCCGGGTTCGATTCCCGGTCAGGGAAGTCCCCTTTAATATTTTTGATACACGACAAGAAGTTATTGATCCACTAGATTCTGATTTTTTTCTGGATCGTTATGAGCCTTCTTCCAGAAATCCTCATATAAGACCTTGTGGCGCAACGGTTGCACATCTGACTCCAGATCAGAAGGTTGTGTGTTCAAGTCACATCAAGGTCAATGCTGGGAGTGCAGAAAACTTTAATACTATAGAGTTTTCCAAAAGTAATATAATTTTAGTTTTGCTCTTCTAGATATTTAAAAAGACATTACTGGAAATTGGCAGGAAATATGATTAAAAGTGATAGCATTTAAAAATGGCAAAAAAAAACGATGGCCGAAAAAATATTGATGATTGTGTGTCCCTGATGGTCTAATGGTCAGGATTTGGCGCTTTCACCGCCATGGCCCTGGTTGGATTCCCGGTCAAGGAAGTTCCCTTTAATATTTTTGATACACGACAAGAAGTTATTGATCCACTAGATTCTGATTTTTTCTGGATCGTCATGAGCCTTCTTCCAGAAATCCTCATATAAGACCTTGTGGTGCAACGGTAGTGCATCTGATTCCAGATCAGAAGGTTGTGTTTCCAAATCAATATGATTAAAAGTGATAGCATTTAAAAATGACAAAAAAAATGGCCAAAAAACAATGAGGTTGTGTGTCCCTGATGGTCTAGTGGTCAGGATTCGGCGCTCTCACCGCCACGGCCAGGGTTCGATTCCTGGTCAGGGAAGTGACTTTTAATATTTTTTATACAGGACAACACGATACTGATCCAATAGATTCAGATTTTTTTCTGGATCGTTATGAGCCTTCTTCAATAAATTATCATAATAAGACCTTGTGGCGCAACGGTAGCGCGTCTGACTCCAGATCAGAAGGTTGTGTGTTCAAGTCACATCAAGGTCATTGCTGGGAGTTCAGAAAACTTTTAGTCACATCAAGGTCAATGCTGGGAGTTCAGAAAACTTTAATATTAAAAAGTTTTCTAAAAGTAATATGATTTGAGTTTTGCTCTTCTAGATATTTAAAAAGACATTACTGGAAATTGGCAGGAAATATGAATAAAAGTGATAGCATTTAAAAATGGCAAAAAAAATGATGGCCAAAAAAATATTGATGATTTTGTGTCCCTGATGGTCTAGTGGTCAGGATTCGGCGCTTTCACCGCCGTGGCCCGGGTTCGATTCCCGGTCAGGGAAGTCCCCGTTAATATTTTTTTTAAAACGACAAGAAGTTATTGATCCACTAGATTCTGATTTTTTCTGGATCGTTATGAGCCTTCTTCCAGAAATCATCATATAAGACCTTGTGGTGCAACGGTAGTGCATCTGATTCCAGATCAGAAGGTTGTGTGTCCAAATCAATATGATTAAAAGTGATAGCATTTAAAAATGACAAAAAATGGCCAAAATACAATGAGGTTGTGTGTCCTTGATGGTCTAGTGGTCAGGATTCGGTGCTCTCACTGCCGCGGCCCGGGTTCGATTCCCGGTCAGGGAAGTGACTTTTAATATTTTTTATACAGGACAACATGATACTGATCCAATAGATTCAGATTTTTTTTCTGGATCGTTATGAGCCTTCTTCAATAAAATATCATAATAAGACCTTGTGGCGGAACGGTAGCGCGTCTGACTCCAGATCAGAAGGTTGTGTGTTCAAGTCACATCAAGGTCATTGCTGGGAGTTCAGAAAACTTTTAGTCACATCAAGGTCAATGCTGGGAGTTCAGAAAGTTTTCTAAAAGTAATATGATTTGAGTTTTGCTCTTCTAGATATTTAAAAAGACATTACTGGAAATTGGCAGGAAATATGAATAAAAGTGTTAGCATTTAAAAATGGCAAAAAAAAACAATGGCCGAAAAAATATTCATGATTGTGTGTCCCTGATGGCCTAGTGGTTAGGATTCGGCACTTTCACCGCCATGGCCCTGGTTGGATTCCCGGTCAAGGAAGTTCCCTTTAATATTTTTGTTACACGACAAGAAGTTACTGATCCACTAGATTCTGATTTTTTTCTCTGGATCATTTTGAGCCTTCTTCCAGAAATCCACATATAAGACCTTGTGGTGCAACGGTAGCGCATCTGATTCCAGATCAGAAGGTTGTGTGTCCAAATCAATATGATTAAAAGTGATAGCATTTAAAAATGACAAAAAATGGCCAAAAAACAATGAGGTCGTGTGTCCCTGATGGTCTAGTGGTCAGGATTCGGCGCTCTCACCGCCACGGCCCGTGTTCGGTTCCCGGTCAGGGAAGTGACTTTTAATATTTTTTATACAGGACAACATGATACTGATCCAATAGATTCAGATTTGTTTCAGAATCGCTATGAGCCTTCTTCAATAAAATATCATAATAAGGACTTGTGGCGCAACGGTTGCGCGTCTGACTCCAGATCAGAAGGTTGTGTGTTCAAGTCACATCAAGGTCAATGCTGGGAGTGCAGAAAACTTTAATATTATAGAGTTTCTAAAAGTAATATAATTTGAGTTTTGCTCTTCTAGATAATCAAAAAGACATTATTGGAAATTGGCAGGAAATATGATTAAAAGTGATAGCATTTAAAAATGGCAAAAAAAAAACGATGGCCGAAAAAATATTCATGATTGTGTGTCCCTGATGGTCTAGTGGTTAGGATTCGGTGCTTTCACCACCATTGCCCTGGTTGGATTCCCGGTCAAGGAAGTTCCCTTTAATATTTTTGTTACACGACAAGAAGTTACTGATCCACTAGATTCTGATTTTTTTTTTCTGGATCATTATGAGCCTTCTTCCAGAAATCATCATATAAGACCTTGTGGTGCAACGGTAGTGCATCTGATTCCTGATCAGAAGGTTGTGTTTCCAAATCAATA